ATATATATATATATATATATATATATATATATATATATGTGTGTGTGTGTACATATGTGTTATATATATATATATATATATACACATATATATAATTTTATATATATATATATATATATACATATATATATATATATAAAATTATATAAATATATATAATTTGCGTTACATTTTTTAGGCCAAAATCGGTCTATTCTACCCATCGTCCTTTAAGTGGGCGCGAGGATTTTACATTCATTTGTGTCTCTCGTCGTTAGTCTTTTTATTTGTCTGACTACAGTCAATTTTTCTAACGAGTGTGACTCACCTCAATCCGAATGGGCACGGCAGAGAGAGACTAAATTTGCTAAATTGCTAAATTTTACAAACAGCTCAGGTCGAAATATTGTATTTCTGCCATCGATTCGATACAAAACGCATATGCGACATCTGCCAGTGGTTTGTCCATCTTAGCCAATTTATCATATCCTCTAGCTACGATTGCAAGACCATTTTTTTGAGTGTATATGCCTTGTCCAAGGCAACTGTGTACATAATCGATTGTATCGCGCGTTTTCTCCTCGCGAGAACTTCCCACTCGACCGCGGTGAGTTTACCGGAACGCGGCCCGTTGGCCACGCGAACACATGTGCCAAAATTCTCGACGCGACAGCTCGGACACGCGACAACACGCGCGTTAATCCTCTGCCCATTCCCTCTTCCGCCCCTTCCGTATCTCCCGTACGTTATTCGACAAAATCCGCACATCGGGGGCTGTCTCTGACGGACAGCGTGGATTTCTCGCCTCTGCACCGAGAAAAAAATGTTTGAAGATTTGTCTGCATATTGAGAAACAAATGTGTAAGAAATAATAAATATTTCATTGGTAGGTAACAATAATATATCTAAATCTAAATTCTTCTATTTAAATGGAATAAATAAAATTGCTCTCTCAAAAAGTTGTAACGTTTTCTTAAGTTTTTAAGAAAATGCATATCTTCTTACTAGAAAAATATTTTATGTTGGTGCAAGTAAATTGTGTTACTATAAGACACCCATAGGATAAATATTTACCATTTCTATTATATCTTCCTCAGTGTAGGATACAAGGTCGATTTTCAGAAATAGGCTTTATTTCGTTCAAACTCTATATAAACGTTAAACCACAGATAAACGTTCAAGCGTTTTTTCTCACGGCGTTTCTCGTGCAGTCAGCCAGTGCGCGTTTGATTAATTAGGCTCGCGCTTGTAATGCGATGTAAATTGTTGCCCGCGGCACGTTTGAATCGATATTCTCGTTCCGCACATGCATATTCAAACGCCCGTATTTTTGTATGTCGCGCGTACTTTCATCGCAAGTCTGTTCAGCATATACTTTGACATGTTTCACTAAATAATATCGAGAGATCGCATTAGGTTGCTGGCCAAGCCGAAGAGAGGTGATACCGCGAGGGAGATATTGCGACGTTTTCCCGTCGGATCCCGATGTGCGGTTTGCACGGTTTGTGCGATACTTAGAAAGAGAGAGGGGGAGAGAGAGAGAGAGAGAGAGAGAGAAAAGAAGAGAGAACATATCCGTCGGTCGAGCTCAATTCGCGTTGCGTAGAAACGATTATCGGCGAATGCGCGCGAATGTAATACAGCGACTCGGCCGGCGGCGAATCCCGCCGGTCACACGAGACATCGATCATTCAGGACCAAGTGGAGCTACGCGCGAGGAGCGCTCCTCTCTCGTCGAGCTTATTTACCGCCAATAGTTTTCTCAACGTGTCCATATCAGTAAGTAGCGAGTCGCCATTGATAGCGCTCGTCGATTCGCCCGAAACCTGCTCAAGTTGTTGTTACTTGAAGAAGATAAAGAGCGTGAAAAGAAAGGAAAGAGAATTGTGTCGGGACGACTTCTCCTCCCCCTGTGTGAGCGAGGGGATCGAAGGAAGCCCCCTCCCCACGCAAAGCGGCGATGTATTAGTAATTTTGTAAATCCTGTGACCACACGCGCGATCGTCCCGTTGCGCTTTCTCGTCAGTACGGGATCGGGAAAGATCGCGCGAGATCGCGACGGGATGTTATAAGCGAGAGTAGAGAAAAAGGAAACCGTACCTGCAGTGAGAGAGAGGGAGAGAATGTGAAAGAGAGAAAGAAAGAGAGAGAGAAAGAGAAGAAAGAAGAGGTAACTCGACGTTAAAGCATAATAAAGCGTATAGAGGTAACGTTAATTAGTGCGTAACATTATCGATACTATTATTGCGTTTTCTATTATTGTAATTATTATGATTGTAATTATTCGCGCCGCACGTCGCTGGGAGAAGATAAAATGATATTTTTTTATACACACACACGCAATCGAAGTGTGTGATTCTGTGAAGGGCATCGATTGGGAGAAATTGTTCGTTCGGCGGGGTGAGAGATGTCTCGCCCCGAAATCGATGTTGATCAAACGTCGCGTGAGAGACGTCGATGCTAACTCGTTATAGAAGAACGAATATCTAAGGAATATGTCTAAGGAATGTCTAAGGGAGCAACGCGGCGCCCTCGGGTCTTTCAGCGTTTTCCCGTGGAAAACGAGTAGCATAGGCGAGCGAGAGCGGTAGTTGCGGCGCGACTAATCGGAACTGGTTGTGGTGCTTAAGCGAAGAAGGGCGAATCCGACGGGTATCTTTGCGCTGTGAATCGACGAAGACAATCCTTAAGGTATACTCCGTTCGTGATCTCCGCGCGGATAAAGTCGTCGGGCCGAGCGAATCGAGCGAACGGCGAATCGAGCTTGGAGAAAACGTCCAGCGCGCGAAATGTACGTTGCGGCGCGTTAATGGCATAATTTACCGCTCCCTGCGCCATCCCCGCCGTGGGTGCCAGCTGAGAGCTGACGCGCGAGAGAGAAGACGGAGAAATAAGGGCTGGCTGGAGATGAAGGAGAGGATAAAGCTGCCGATGGGGCAAATGACGATAAGTGTTGGCAATCGGCGGGACACACACGGCGGAGAGCTCACGCAAGGAGCGTATTGTAAGCTGTACAAGGTGCTCGCGTCACGACGCAACTGTACTCTCTCCTTATTTTGTAATATTTATATTAGTACAAATGTGACGGGAAACATATTCTCTGCCTTCCTTTCATTCTCTCTCTCTTTGTCTCTCTATACTTTTGCATCCCCGCCCCCTCTCTTTCTCGCGCTCGAGTCGACAGGTGCGCGTTACTCTTTTCACGCCACCACAAAGTAGTTCCCCTTTCGCTCGGCCCTCGGCGAACAAATTCGTCTCTCGTTTCGGAAACGTCAATTCCACGTCATAGTTTTACGATAGTCGTATGGTGACTCGCTGAGCAGCACGCGCCAACATGATATACTCGAGCTTACACTCAGCCCCGACCGTTTCTCGTCCTGGATTCTTCTGTATCCCTGTACTCGCGCGTATGTACTGGTTACCCACCCCTTCCTCTCCCTCCCTCTTTCCCTATCCCGTTCCCGTCCAGACGGTGTCTCCTGTTGCTCTTCGCCCGGAAAAAGAAGGTCGCGACGAGTTATCAGGGCCCACGTGCACGCTGATACACCCCCGCGACCCGCGCGCACACATATAGGTATGTATATATATCTGTATTTTTGTATATCGAGGTTTTTTCTAATTACACACCTACCGATTATAAGCGTTTCCCGTGGAATGGGACGAGTAAGTAGCTATTAAGGAGAAAGTATTGTCGCTCTCTGCTTGCCATTTCACTTGCCCCCCTCCCCCTCGCCCCCATCCCTCACCCTCCCCCCGCCAGCCGATCGAAGGATTGCTTCGAGAAGCGATGTGTCGTTGCGACGACGCGAGGGAGGATCGTCGAATCGGAGGTAGGACACCCTCGTCTCGTGCCGTGCCCGATCGTGATCATCGCGTGGCGGCAACGCGTGTCCTTCGCGTTCGGTGCTTGCGCGAAGAACGAATCGATGGAGGATACTTTGTTCACGGCAAATGTGATTAGCGCAAGTAGATGGCATCTCGTGCCGATTCAGTTATTATTGATTTGATATTTTTAATTTTGTGAATGTCTTGCTCTCGCGCGCGCGTGTATACAACGCGTGTATATGACGCGAATCTACAAATTATTTCATTTGCTCGTCGTTGTCGGCCGAAAGGAAGTCGAGAGGATTCGCACACGCGCGCGCGAAAAAGTTGTCAATTTATTTCTCGTTAATTTCGGTAGTGTCGAGGGAGAGCGTACCGATTTTCGTTGAAAGCGCAGCGGGCATGATCGCTCCAGCGCGTGTAATTAATACTCATAGGTTAATAGTAGTGGATTCGTTTATTCGTTCTGGTTGGATTTGTCTCGAAACGTATAGTATCCCATAATCGGCCGGCAAGTGTCGAGTCGTCGTGTGTGAGTCGCGGAATTCGCTCAAACGCCGCGCGGCGCTCGACGCATCCTTTTTAGTTCTCTTTTTTTTTTTCTTTTGGCACGGTTGCAAGTGCGAGAGTATCGGGACCTCTGACTCGGCGTTACCCCTCGCAGCCGGATTCAGCCTTAAACTGACAGTGAATCTCTTGCGTAATAAATCCGTAGTAACTTAAGGTGAGGCGAAGATGTGGGGAAGGAACGCGAACGAGCACGTTCGACGACGTGTCTTCGGGCAGTTAAGCGATCGCCGTGCCAGACAACCTGTTCTTGTAATTATTAACAAGTAGCCATTTGTACGACTATTATTATTATTATTTCTATTATTATTATTAATATTATTAATTATTTTATTATATTATTAATATTATTATTATTATCTCTCTCTAGAGTTACGTTGTTAAGTAATTAATCATGTTTAATGCTTCTATTATTTATTTTGTTATCCCGTTCACGAGTCAAGCTTTCTACTTTCTTCTCCTCGCCCTTCCGTTCTTTCCTCCCTTTCTCCCTTCCTTCCCCATCTATCCAACTCTCCGTGTCTTGTCCATTCATCGTAACTCTGTTCCATCCCGGAACCGGGAGAGAAAGGAAGAGAGAGAG